TAATAATTTACCAACCTATATAAGAACAATCTACGTAGAATATATAACATAGTATTACAAAACTGATTTTTAGCGTAAGTTAGTAATGCCAAAGTGCAAGTAAGTTAACTTTAGGTCAAGAATGTAAATTAGTTGTAAGAAAAAGCCCCGCCTCTAGCTGCTTTGCGCAAGGCAGCAGCAAAGTGTATAAACATTTAAAGATAATAAATTCCCCTACTTCACAGGGTTACTGTGGAGGGGACAAAAGAAAACCATCCCATTCGCCCTTGGTCAATTCTGAGATCAACAGTAACTGGACTGCCGTTGAGTGCAACGCATCCTGGGAATGTGAAATCTGCAAGAAAACGCACTTTTCTCGTTCTAAAGATCTCAGAAAAGATCAAGGACGAAGGCAATCCAAACATCCTTCTGCACGTCTTGTATCTGGCGATTTCTGGAAGAATCAGTAACGTTTTATCCCGTTGAAAATTCGTCGTCCCTGTTGGGATTGTTGGGTCCTCATATTTAAGATCGCATTGCAACTGCTATGGTCATATTGTGGTCTTTGTAATTCCACATTGATGTTAGAACTTTGGGGTAACGGTACACGAACACGCATACGGAAGCGCATAAACATCTATGCCCCACGCAGTGATGCGACATCGATAACAAAACAACCATGTTAGCAAATATGAAGAGAGAAGAAATACGAGGACGCGGAGGTCATTTCTGGAGAGAGTGTTCGGTCGACGAAGGTAGTACGAACGTTGGGCATTCCTTTGGTTCCAACAAAGGAACTAACAGTGTGGCCATCAGTTATATTGCATATTGTAACTTTTACAGTATTGTGATCATGGCAGTTTTTCTTTCAGAAACAAAACATCGGAAAAGAAACAAAAATCGTCGATCACAAAACATCGATGTTGCAACGAAAAACATCGACATCTATGTCGCATCCTAGCCCGGGGCAGAATTCGAACCCGCGACCCTTCACACCAAGGCAGCCACGGCCCTTCATCATTGGCGAACACGCGTCCTATTTGGATGGCATGTTGGGGGTTACCATATTTCTATTACGAAAAAAAGAGGCCATTTCTTATAAAAAAGAGGACACCTTATAAAATATTTTAATATAATAGTTTGTTTTCCTTATAGACAAAATAACTACTTAAATAAATACTACAAAATAAATACTTAAAGCCTTGTCATCACTTTCACAATCACACAATAGGCCTACTTTATTATTACCGTCTTTTCCACTTATTTATCAGAAGTATTTGGTGGATGATGAAATCTCGCATAACAATTATCGCTTTACTTTCTTTGATTTGAATCTTGCAACAAACGCTTTGACATTTCTTTAAGTATTCAAGACTTTTTGGCATCATGCTCGAAATACAAGCATCACAGATATTAACTTCACAAGCCAGCAGAACAGTATTAACACGACTGAGCACAGAATCTACACCATAATATGTTGTTCCAGCTAATAGCAGAACTGTCGCATATCATGGAGTAAATGTCATTCCAAGGAGTACAGTTGATCTATCGGTTCTGGCGGTTGTTAGGCCAGATGGTTGAAGTTAAATGACATTTATTTATACAAATGCTACTATGCCGGAGATAGGAATAAGTTGAAAAAAGCGCAGTATTTTTCGCGCATCATAGTCAAGGTTGCATTTAAAAGTTATCCCCTCCCTTCCAATACAAAAAGATGACATTTCATCCTCTTTTCTAAAATCCACCCGGACGGTTTTTCTTACCTCAAAAAGAGGACATGTCCGGGGCAAAGAGGACGTATGGTAACCCTAATTGCGTCACAGGAAGTGCAGGTTACCGCAAGGTCTCCCGGTGCGCCACGCCGCGCTCGGCTTGGCTTGTGCACGCGGACCTAACGCGGGAGTCGCTCGGGCCCTGAGAGACCCGCGAGATAAAATCAATTTCAAAGAATTGACGGAAAGCTTTATATCTAAGCCCTGGAAGTTTATGAAAAATGATATTTCTAATTATGAGCTATAGAACATGAGATTTCTGAAATGTCCTCAAAACAATCAAACGAACAGAAAGTCGGTGATTTTATTCTGTGCATTTTATGTTAGTGCATCATATTTCCATTATATGCAAGTTATTATTCACTTTTTTTTTGTTCTTAATGCGGCATATCTCTTTTGGAATTTCAATTAATATACATATTTGTCTCCTCAAACCGAAAAGTGTACTTCAGAAATACGAGAGAAAAAGCTATTCAAGAGCAATCGTGGGAATATCTCGCGTTCGTTGCTGCTATATTTGTCTGCACATATTTTAGATGATGTCGCTGGTACTTAGAAACTATTTGTACGATTATAAATGAAGCAATAATTTATATTTGATAAACAATTTGTGGAATTGGAAATGATACTGCGACGATACAGAGGAAATCGTCAGGTATATTTCACTTCTAAAACTATCGCTTATATATTAATAAAAAATAATTGTTTAAATTAAAAGTTCATAAATTGTTCATGAGTGCATAAAACATATACTGTAGAGCACACCTCATTAGTTTTGGCGCAATTTTACAAATGTTAGAGCACATTTGAATGCATATTTCTTCTATTGATATAACATTAACCTCTATACTGGGCACTGACATAATTGGGGGCTCCTCAGTATTTGGTCAAGAGACTCACAGGGCCTTCCCAACAACACACGTACATGAAACACAAGAATGACAAACAACCGTGGCTGCTGCGGGACTCGAACACGCGACCCATTAGACCGAAGCGCACAGTCGGCACACGCACTTGCTACCTAGGCCTCCCTGGTGGGCTAAACGGAGATAAGGAAATAAAACTACTCTGGGGTCGCCCACAAATTACGTAACGCTCATTAGGGGGGGGAGTTTGAGTCAGCGTTACGCTGCGTTACATAGGACTAGGGGATCACAGTTTAGTGTTACGTGATACTAATTTTTATTTTTTAAATCTTTCAACATTAGCGGAAATAATTCCTTTTATTCAGTCGTATACTAAAACATTTCCATATTAACAAATTAAATTAAAAATATCATAAATGAAAGAAGTTACATTCTATAAATGTTTACAATAAATGAAAATTTTTCATCCATAATATACTGTTGGAATCTTTTAGATTACGAAGAAAACATTCAAAACTGATCTGTAGAATATTCTAGAATCCAATTATTTGGCGCAGCAGACTTTGAGCCTATGCGTCATCCACGCCGGCGTGTGCACGGCCTCTCAGAAATAGTCCCACCTACGCATCCTCCTTTTCGTCAAAAATCGTCGCTAATCTTATTGTTATGTGCAGTCTGCACCACCAACTAATTCTCACGTTAATTCTAATAAATTTTAACGTTAACCCAAATACAATTAAAATAACTCGTCTCTGCTTTGAAATTGAGTTTTTTACTTGTTGGAATTGGGAGAGGGGGTGTCGTAAGCGTTACGTAATTAGGAGGAGGTTCAAGCGCGCGTTATAGGTGCGATACATGGGGAGAGGGGGTATTCGAAATATTCCGAATTTGCGTTATGTAATTTATGGACGGTCTCTCTGCAGGTCGTCGTCGACACACACACACACACACACACACACACACACAATTTGCAATGCAACGTTAAGGGTCAGCGGAAGTTTCTCTTCCGCCAATGGGCGTTTCATTGTTAACTTAGTTTCATTAAATGTTACATTCAGACATATTTCTAAATTACGGAAACGGGAAACGCGCATATTAATCACGCCAGACTTTTAAACACCACTTCGTAAATTCTAGCTACTTCCTCTCTTTGCGTTTCCTCGCCTTGGCTTTATTTGAACGCCTGAGATAGTCAACATAGCACAATGGCGGCAACTCCTAAGAAATACAAGAAAGCACTTATCTGTAGAGGACTTCCGGGAGCCGCGGTGTCAAAAGAACTTTCGAGGTCGAACTCCGCGCGTATGACTGTCCCTGAGGTGACGTGAACGACTGAGTGATGACAAAGCGGCGTTCATTATTTAAAAAATAACAGCATGACTAAAACGAAACATCATAGCCTCTACAAATGATGTACATAATTCACTGCCATAAAGGTTTCTTTCATTCCGTGGAGAGGTGGGTGTTCGTGGACCTCCTCAACATTTTGAAAGGCTCCCTGTAGCCTTGTGTAATTAAACATTTTATTGAAAGTGATTTATTTAACAAGGCCGGAAAATGAATGATTTTGGATGAGGAGTTTACCAACTGAGGCGGAGCTGCGATTGGTAAACTAACAGAGTCCAAAGTCATTCAATTTTGGCCGAGTTGCATTCAACTCTTATTTGTATATTCACCTCCCAAATTTAGGTTTGAATTTTTAGACAGATATCATTTATACCATGCATTTTCGTCGTATAGATAAGGACGTTCTTCTACATTATCGCCTCTGAAGTTGCCAGTACTGTTACAATTGTTAAAGAGTTCAGAATTTGCGGCTGGTTTTGGCGATTTATTTCGTAAATATAGAGTGCGATATTCCAGAGATTATAATTGAGGAAGCTGAAGCTGCTGCTGAGAGTTTACTTCCTCAAAAATTAAAGGATTCATGCGAAAGAGAGTTTGACCTATTTTTAAAATGGAAAAGAGAGAAACATGTTACCAATGTAAATGAAACAACTATCCTGACATATCTCTACGAAAATGTATTACATTTTCATAAGTAAAGCTAATTTAATTGGGTAAGATAACTATCTTCATTTGCACAATAGTCCCAGACAGTGAAACCGTTAACATTAACGAGCAAAAAGTCATTGCTAAAGCCAGCATTAAGAATAAAATAAAACATTGATGTCTGGCAGTACCACAGAGTTAAATCATCTTTTAAGCGTGTCACAAAAATATGAACAAAAAAAAACGATCGAAAATACTTAAAAAGAAGAGATAAATACATTTATGGCGTCAGCACCTGATGACGTGTATTTATTAAAAACGTAAGTAATGCAATATTTTTTTCTTACGAAATTTTGAATTTTTAGAGTTAAGATTCACACATATGGTGCATTTAGGTGGCTTTGATTGTTGGTGTCTCAGGTGCATGCAGAAGAACAATATAACCTGAGAACAAAACGATATTGAGGACAAAAATTCTGCTCTAATAATTACGCTTCGAAGTACTAAAACTAGCGTTCGAATAATGTTTATTGCGACCGCGGAATGTGAAGTAATTAACCATGTAGATCTTTATCGAAAGTATGTTTCTATGCGACCAGAACACACGCTTCATGACACGCTTTTCATATATTAAAAAAATAATAAGTACTCCGTTCAACCTGTTGGCATTGACAGTTTTGGTTCAATGTGTACCACAGTTGCAGTTTCAAAAATTACCCAATGCAAATCTGTCTCATCTTCTCCCTCATACGTCAATACAGTTTTTACTGTTTTTTGACTAAATACATCTAAAGCTAGCCGATCTGGTGGCCGAGATCGTGAAGGCAGAGATGACGTAGCGATCTCGGACCGAAGGATGGAACCCCGCCTCGGGCATGGTTGTATTGTGTTCGACCTTTCACCCCCTATCATCATAATTTCGTGTAATCCTCATAGTTACCCTACCCTTACATGCAATAGTGGACGCTAATGACCTAGAAGTTGATGCGACCTTAATAAAAAAATCTAAAGCAAGTACACAGGAGATTGTTTTACGCGTCTTCCACTACGATATCAGCAGACACTGGAGCTACTTAAACAAATATTAAAGACATGGTGGGTGGAAACGTTTAAAGGTAACTGAAGGGTACCTGAAAGATTCGGTGGAGTATAATAACAAAGTAGCTAGGATCTTGCAAAAGAAAAATTGCCCTTCAGTTCGAGTTGAGACTATTTTGGTTTGCACTGAAACTCCTAGCACGAGTGCTCAATGCACAGACGACATACTAACAGCTTCAGGTATAATATTTCAAAATATATCAAATTGTGTTTTAATATAAATGTTAACAATTAAGTGAAAAACATTCTGTATTCGAAAAATAATAAATATTCTTTGCCAATGTGTCAACATTGTACATTGTATTGTTTACTTGACGTTGCCATGGCAACCGTCCACTAAAATTCATTCTTGGCCTAGGCCGCCAAAGCTCACCTTTGTAGCGTATAAATGCTCTGCCAAGTGCGGGTTTTGAAGCAAGGAAACGAAAAAATAATTAATAATAAATATCTTATTTTCCTCTTTTCTCATGGATTCGAGGACCCAAACACGTAATTGCCCCCCCCCCTCTTCTTTCTGGCTGTCTATCCCCCTTTAATTACTGCTAAAGAATTCCAGTTAAATTTCACATTTGATTGGAACCTATAAACGAACCAGCTCTAATCATTTATTGACAATTATTAACACTAGGTCCATTCTCATATGAGTTTAAAAGATGGCGTCGAATAATGCTACCATCAAGACGAGTGTTTTGAAACTTCGAATTTCCCTCTCTAAATGGATTTGTGAATTGAATACGATCCTTTCGCTGCTTCCAACCCAAGAGCACAGTGCCGCATGTGCTCGTAAAACGTACTACGAGTAACTCGGCATTTCTATCCCCTGCAAGAATAGAAGCGCGCGCCTCTGCTTCAAGGGATGAAATCCGTCACCAAACGCTGAGTCATAAAATGGGCGCTCCGGTGTGAACGGTCCCGCGGATTTCGTCGCCGCGTCTAGCGCGAAACTGTCAGCGCCGCACCCGCTGCGGATCTCCCGCGACGATCTGTCAGAGCATTTATACCTAGTTTTATAACTAAAGACGGGATTACCGTTCAGTAAAACTCTAAAACGTGCAGTAAGAACACCAAAACGTGCAAAAAGACCAAAACTGCGAAACTGTGTTATGTAGCCCAAAAATTGTAAATAATCCACGTATCAAATTATTTTAAATTTTGAATGTGATACGGTGATTGAAATATTATGATTTTTTAGGTTTTTTTTTTTTTTTTTTTTTGTAATTCAGTTAAGTCTTGTTTAAACAAGCCATATGACCGTTTTAATACTATTCACACACAAAATTAAATTAGCTTAAAAATACAAAAAATAAATACAAAATTTGAAAAATACAAATATATTACAAATAAAAAAGAATTAAGTTACAGAACAAACGCTTTTAATTGTTTTCATTATAATTCATAATGATGTAAATTCCCAAATTATTTTCTAAGAAATTATATTGTCTATCAACTATAAATACGTGTTTCAGACAGGAAACACTTCGTTCTACATGGACACTTTTCTGTGTGCCGAGCGTCACTTTGACGTACGAGAGCATGCGGCAAAAAAGAGGGGTCAACAGCTGCCCACATTCTCCCTCGTACCTCGCGGAGCGACGTCTGTTCCGAGAAATTCGATGACTTCCCGCCCGGATGCAAGGTCAAAAGTGACCCGCGCACGCCGTCTCGTGTTAGTAAGTTCGGCTCACAACGAGGATATATGATCTGATTGGGAAGATAGACCCCGAACATCGCGTTGGCTGAGGCCGCGACCAAGGGGCGCTGACCTAGTTCGTGGTAAAAGCTCATATCCCTGCTGCAAGAACTCAGAAATTTTATTTAGACAATAGGCATAATGAAAGAAATGGGGTCGTCCAGAAATTACGAAACACTAGGGAGAGGGGGGAGGGGGTTTGAGGCAGCGTTACGGTGCGTTACAAGGGGTAGGGGGTATTCCATTAATATGATACGTAACATTGAATTTTTTTACAGTTTTTAACATTTGTTGAAATACATCCTTTTTTGAGTCTTATACTAAACATTAAAATATTATCTAATTAAGTTGGTTGAAAACATAAATAGTTTAAAGTTATTAGAAGTAGTTACAATAATTTTAAATATTTTTTCATCAATTTTGTATTGAATCTGTAAGATTACAAAAAAGAAAAGAAAAATTCAAAACTGATCTGCAGTATTTTGTAGAACACAATTAAATGGGCGCAATAGATTTTCGTCCGTACCCACCCTCAACGTCAGCATGTGCACAGAAATTTTGGCTGCTTGTGATCAGAAATGTTCTCGCCTGTGCCTCCTTCCTTTACTAAAAACGTGCCCCAATCTCATTGTGAGATGCAGTCAGCATCGACAACCAACACCGACTTTAATTATCTCAAATTTTAAGACACAACACAAATAAAATAAATACAATTTGTTTACCGATCTGTAATTTATTTTCACTTCTTGCATTTATAAAGGGAGAGAGTTGTCGCAAGCGTTGCGTGTAATAATTTAGAGGGGAAGCAATTTCGTGTACCGAGTGCGTTACAGGGGGATAGGGGGTGTTCAAAATACTACAAATTTGCGTTACGTAATTTCTGGCCGGCCCCTATGGACGTTCAGTTCATAGAGCAACAAAATTCAGAATTGATACATATTGAAAGGCACTCGGGTTTCACAAACCATTCGCGTGAATGTATTACTGGATTATGCCATAAAAACTTTTTTCTTACATGAAACCTTCAAAAAAGGATAAATTAAAAGAAGTTAATAATAGAAAAATTATATTTTATGATATAAAACTATGAATCTCGCAAATTCGTTCAGTGAAAACAAATTGTGCTATACCAATTTTCAGGCAGTATTATCTAGAACGTGCAATATCGTGCAGTGCCCGATTCAATATTCAAATTTCTGTGAAGATTTCATTCAATTTCAAGTTAGCCAACAAAAGATGCAGTTACACGGGAATCCGGTTTTTATTTACAACTAAGGACGGATTTTCATGACCTAAAAGAATGCGAAAAAGTATTATGGTTTTAAAAATGCGCTCAAAGCAGAGAAAAATGATGTAGAAAATTATATCAATGCCTGTTCAGATGAACAACTTAAGATATGATACAGATGTAATCGAGGCTTCTTCCTTTCGTTCGCAACTCAGCTGGCAAACTTTCGGTTTGGATTGTTCTTAAGCTGGAAATTCCTGACTTCGGTTACAGCGAAATCGGCCTAACCGATAATAGTGCTATGGCCTTACGTAAATTAGGGACCAAACAATCCCTTCATTTTTCTTCGCGAAACGTACTTTCCCATTCTACTCATAAATTGGGGACCAAGAAAACACAGGTAAGGAAAAGTGTTGATTGAGCAGATACGCGCGTTAAGGCGCCGCCGCCGCTTTGCTATCGAGCTTCTCCTTGTTCCTTATCATCCAGACTCGCTCTTACATCAAAATGAAAATGAAAAAGCTCTAGAAGAGTGTCCAAATTTCATTTCAGCGTTATAGAATATTAGCAGAGAAAAAGGAAGAATATAAAAATGGCAAGATAAGCAGGATTCATCTATCTATAAAAGATTAAATTGAATGGTAATCAAACTATATTTCCAGAGAAATGCGCCAGTTCTAAGTCACGGAAATTGGGAAGGGAGCTGTGTTCTAAAAATAATGGCTTCGAAAATATTCTCGTAAAATAAAGCGCTATCTTCCTGGAAGGGGATGAGGAAATCGGTCCGCAATTTACGTACATCCTTCTTTGGGCTGGTCCCCAATTTACATACGAGTTGAACTTTTATTTTCCTTCTGGTCCCCGATTTACATAGGCGTCGTAGGAACCTGAGATTACTCAAACTACTCAAAACAACTGACATTACAATTTCTGAGCGAAAAAAAAAATCAAATTTGCAGCTCAGGAATTCTCTGGAGAATATCTGTTGCATTTCGTAAACAATACTTGAAGAACCATTAAAATGATATTAAAAGCGATGAAATTAGCGAATAATATTGTACACTAAAAATTACGGCAAAAGATAAAAAAAATATACTCGAAATCGACGAAAACTGCAACAAAAAGTCATAAAATCCGTCATTTCTCTTTGTCTTAACATATAGTTAACGCCTAAATTAAAAGGAATTGTTCTACAGTGAAAAATAAGAAAATAAAAAATTACATTCATTAAAATCCGCCCCTATTTATAACCACATCAACTTTTTCTTTGAACCATTCTTTCACAAATTCTTCAACTTTTCCACAGCAATGAAAATCCATGATTTGTCCCGTTTTCCCATGTTTCTATAAATATAACTTCATTTTCTGAACGTCTTCTAGAGTTCAGTGGGAAATCTAGTGATTCAAATGATCGTTTTCCATGTTGTA